TTATTCTTAAGAACCTTCAATAAAAAAAAATATATATATATAAATAGATTGTTTTTGGGGGGGTTTGAAGTAATTGTATAGCCAAAAATACAGGTTTTAACATCTGCGTGGCAATGAAAAAGATTGCTCCGGTAGCAAAACTATTAATATCTTCCTTTTAACTAGAGTGATATATCCGAGTGTGCAGGGTTCAGAAAGCAAGTAAAACCATTTCATGATTGTGGAATCTGCAAAAGATGCTCTTCTAAAGAAAATCAAACTTTATTCCACACGCATCTGTCCAAAAAACAACCCTTGATGCGTTTCTTCCTTACGCGGCCTCTGTCATAGCTGGTTGTAAACCAACACCACCCCACTAAAATAACACTCCGCATAGGGCGGGGAGAAACACATAGGAGCACCCCTGTATTTTAGTGGGGTTGGTTCACAACCAGCTATGAATAAAGCCGAGTAAGGCAGAAAAGCGTCTGTATAGAAAGGGAAAAAAAACCCGATGCTTTTCTGCCTTCTTCATAGCTGGTCATGAACCAACCCCACTCAGGGCTGGTGCAGGCATCGGTGATCCCGGGACTGTGCGATCGTGCACACAGCGGTTGCCACATGGCCCCATTGATTTCAATGGGGTTGCATCCTCGTGGCAATTGCTGAAAAAATGTACATTTACCTTTTTCACGTCAAGCATGGCGCACAATTGCATGGGCGGGATACTGCGCAATCGGCCTGGGACCATTGGGGTGCCATTAGAAAATAATGGCACCACCAGTGCGATCGGCAGTGGTGTGCTATTCCATGCATGATTGCCAAGGTGTGACCCTGGCCTAAAATAAAGGGGTGCTCCTATGTGCGTTTCTTCCCACCCTATGTGGAGTTGGTTTACAACTGGCTATGACCAAGGCCGTGCAAGGCAGAAACGTGTAAACGGTTGTGTTTTTGTACAGAAGCGTGTGGAATAAAGTTTGATTTTTTTTGGAAGAACATTGTGTGCCGGTTCTGCAGTTTGAGAAGGGAGTTATCCGTGTACTGAATGCGGATTAGAAGGACGCACAACAGGCGTGAGCTGTGCGTTGTGTTTAGAACAACCACTCAATGCATTTACATGCAACAAGTCAGGGGGATGAAAGGCAACAAAAGATACCTACCTTAAAGAACGCAAACCACTTCATGTTATTTATTGCCAACTCAAACCCTTGATTGTAGATTATCGTAACAAATCCCAGATTGGCAAACTCATCCTCAGCCACGTCCAGCTCTTTAATAGTCACCGTTACCTTATTTTCCACCGGACCTGAGAACAGGAACACAGTACACATGAATACCCAGGTCACATGTACAATGCCGCTCAGTGACTGCACTTGCAGAAAACAATAACTGGTCAGAGGCAGCAGTGCCTTAGATCTCACACTGCAGATACTCAGCTGTAGAATACGGCAGTGCCTAGGCACTCACATACTAGGGTGTTCACCGCTACTCTTTTAGGAGGGATTGAAGATAAAAAGGTTTTCAGGGCACAATTAACATATCTAGGCGTTCCCTCTAACATAGCAAATCTTCACTTGTGGAGGAGCTCAAGGCCACTTTATAGGAAATCTGTCATCAAGGAAACAGCATTGAATATTTTGCAGTTTTCCAATGAGATCTAAAAGAGAACTATGAGGTAAGTGGTTTTCCTCCATCGTTCTTTTTAGGGTCACGGGGGGACATATACTAACCTCCTCCCGTGACCCAAAGCTCAGTATATAGCAAGCTATTGCCGCTATATACTGAGAGTGCCGCAGCCGGGATGGATCCTGACAATACAGTCAAGATCCACCCAGCTGCGTGAGTGCCCACCCCTTCCACTCAGCACTGGAGGATTGGAGAGGGGGGAATCCCTGTGGGGAGTGGTGACAGTCACCGCAGGGAGATGATCAGGAAGTGAGCGGATCGGCTGCATGTTTCTGCTCACTTCCCGATCAATAGAGCTGACCTGTGACAGCTGAAGATGACATTTTTCATCATCTCAGCTATGCTAGCTCTTGCAAGCTGACGCGCCAGATTAAAAATGTAAAGACAAACTCCAGGCGAAGTTCTGGCCGCCGCCGCTTCCCTTAGCTGCGCTCCTCTTCCCTTTGTGCGTCACAGGCTTAATAGGTCACTGCTCATGACCTGCGACAACTCCATCCTGGCCAACTTGCTTAAAGTGACATTAAACCCTCAGATTTTTTAACATAAAACAATACTGTAATGTGTACCTTACTGTTATCCATGGTAGTTTCCCTTCTCTTTGCTGCTCTTCCTTTTAAATCCGTATCTCTTCTCATGCTGACGGTCAGCGGTCTGCAAATGGATGTCACCCTATTTATAGGCATCATCCAGGTTGTGCAGACTGTTGGCCCGTCCCAGCTGCACATGACGCGCGCTGTTAGCGGCAAACAGCGTGGTTTGGTGCAGTGGGAATATAGCAGGGAGAGAGAGGGGAGATGTGGGCTGCTCGGATTGGGAGGCTGCCTTTCACTAGATGAGGAGTGATACTACACTGAGCAGGTATATATTCCCCACATTTCAATATGGATTTGGTTTAGATGATATTATTTAGCAGCTCTATTTTTGATTTATAGTGAACTTGTGTATATGTATCTATGGGATTGAAATGGATATAGTATTTGATCTATTAGGATACTTTTTGGATCCATTTGGACATACATTTACTCTATTTGATTTGGGTTACTACTTTGTTGGCCCGCATGGTCCCCTACTTCCCTTACCTCCCGGGTTGTTTGGTTTGGGTCTCCGGCAGTAGTGGCGCTTGTAGTAGGACAGAGATTCCATTAATGGTATTTATCTAGGATTAATCTTTTTATGTAATGTGGAACCTTAATTTTAAATAATATTTTGGAAATGTACAAATATTGATGTTTTGATTACTAGATCCTTATGATTATTATAGGCACCTCCGTATTTTCCTGATGAAGCCTTGAGCGAAACGCATCGAAAACTGGACACATCATAGATCTACTGTACATTTATGGATGAATTTATTTATGCAATTATATAAAGAGAGATTTAAAGGAGATAAATGTTAATAAGTTATTGTCATATACACAGTATGTATCTATATGTGATCCAGGGAGGTTTTGTACCATTTAATCATATCGCTAATCTGTCATCTTTGTTAATTATGTATTTTAATAAAGAATATTATATTTTTATACATTAAGCTGCTTCTTTGTGTAATTTTGAACTGGGTCTCCTTGCATTTGATAAATGACACTTTTAAAGCCCCATTTCTCAATTTTGTTTTTGTATTATGGTTATACGATTGTTATTTTGTTTTCCAAGGGGACTGTTTTACCCCTCTGCTGCCTCAATTGGACACTTGTATACCGGGTGGATGCTGGCTGTCTTGTATCTAGTCCGCCGCTGCTGATACTATCAGTGTGTTCGTAGCGTGGCGTGTTCTTCCCACTCCATTCCTATTTTTCTACTTTTGTCCTTTGTGTTTGTTCATGTACATTGATACATACGATATGTAGTTTTGTCACAATTCAGCTGATCAGTCATCTCGAGTGCTTCTATCTAGCTTAAGTAGTCAGCCAGTCTATTACAGCTAAGGGATCGGGGGACGCCCCCTGGGCTGTGATTGGTCATGTGTCTCTTGGCAATCCAATGCTGCCTCTGGATTGGTAGTCTCCTGATCCTCTATGTTTGACTATGATATAAATTCACACTGAGATGGCTGATCCACCTAGCTCTGAGGAAGGGGGTGTTAACACGAAAACGCGTTCAGCGTTTCAACGGATTCTCTGCATTGTCTTCATAACTTCGTCCTTGCAAGTCAGCCATTAAGGACAGAGGTCTATTGATGCTTTTATCTTTGCTCTCCTTGTGAGTACATATATATCTCTTGTATATGTTTTAACAGATTAAAAGGTTTTAGTGCAGCAGGAAAGGCGCCCGATGTTTGTTTCTCTTACCTTAAAGAGTACCTGTCACCATCATCTGCCATCACATGGCTTGTAAGCCCCCCCCCCTATGTGATGGCAATTAAGGTATAAAGACATTTTTTTTTTACAGTTTCTAAAATTAACAAAATAAATGTAAAAATAATTTTAAAATAGTTTTTAAAGTCCCCCGCCCGTCTTCACATAAACACGTGTCGGGTGCGCCTACGTATGAAACCGACGAACGTGCTACACATGTTGGGTATCGCCGCACACGCCAGAGTGAGAGCAATAATTCTAGGGACAGTATTTTTGGCCATCTCTAAATTGATGACCTGTGGGGGGCTTTAAAGCTTCGTCTATTGACTTTTTGGGGTGCTGAATTTTGTCGCCGTTTCACGGACACACATTTTTTTAACCTGTGCATGTTGGGTATCTATTTACTCGAAACCTCATCTTTTATATATTATTTTTTTTAAATGGTATTTTATTGTGGTTTGGGGCATTTAAGTGCATTTTTCACTAAATTGTGGGGTTTGATAAGCAGTTGAGCCAATATCATGCAAGATGAAAATGTGCAACTGCTGCCATTCTATTCTATAGGGTCCTGGCTGTCAGAAAATATATCATGTTGGGGGGTTTTAAGTAATTTTCAGGCCTAAAATGTGGATTATAACATGGGTGCAAAAAATGGAAAAAAAAAAAGCCCTCAGTCATGGAGGGGTTGAAGGGGTTAATAGGACTTCTGCAATCCACATCATGCGACTCCCCTCACCTCGTGACACCGATCTATTTAACCAGTAAAGTCAGTTCGCAATAAGCTTGTGATGAACAGGAAGTCCGTCCATACCAGTCAAAACGAAACCTAACATGATCTTCAAGCGGAAATCTTAGAGCAGATCTGTAATGTGGCGTCTGATAATAGGATCCGAAATGTTTCAGCCAAGACTCACCGCGGAGCAAAAACAGACCAATATCCATTGCAGCTCAGATCACGCGACAGGACATTCTACTCCATATTAAGGATCAAAGAATGCATCAGAGCTGGGAAAGCATGCAACCCTTTACACTACCCACAAGAG